TGTTTTCCTGAAAGCTTGCAAGGATTCCAAACAGGCTGCCCTGAAACGCCCCCTACCTTTGACAGTGTGCACTCTCCTGGGGACTTTGTGGGTCCCCCAGCTCCCAAGTATACACAGAGCCAGATCTAGAGTAGCAGAGGCCTAGCATTGCGGGTCTGAATGGTCAGGAAGTAATTAAATTGTGGTTTCCGTTAACTGAATTGATCAGCACTTTGGTAATCAGTTAAACCAAGCCAGGTACTTCTTCAAACAAGCAGGTACAAAATGGCTTATATTGGTGGCATCACAAACACTTATGAAATTAGTCAGTGTCTTGCTTCAGGCTCTGTCAAGATCAGACATTCAGACTGCGTTATTTTCCTAAAGATCGTAAGACTAAGGACACACAAAAAAGCAAAACTGACTCTTTAGAGCCAATAGCCTCACAGTTTCTTACATAATGAGAAAGCCTGTCCAAAAAAGATAAAGAGCCCATTCTACAAGGATAACGTCCCCTGGGAGGCAGTCCCTTTACCAACAAACTGTATTTGTCTGCCTCGTTCTTTGGTTTCTCAGCTCCTTGGGCATGTGGAGCCATTTTGCATATAGGGCTCTCTCATGGAACAGCCTGGGATGTGCCACAGACACGTGTGTCTCAGAGCCTGTGCATATGCTCTTCCCTAAGCATAGGACATCTTCTGTTACCCAGCCCTCTCCTCGTGTCGTCGAGTCCAGTGTCTCCTCCTTAGAGAGGTCCTCTCCCTCACTGTCTCTAGTCCCTCTTTCTTCTTCTTCAAAATATGTAGCATTACTTGACATCATTTTATTTCAATTCAATTCAACAAATATTTTTTGTTCACACATTTACCCTTGTCCACACTACAGTGAGGCTCCAGGAGAGCAGAGACGTTGTGTATTTCATTCACTGCTGGCTCCCCAGCCCTTAGAACGGTGCTTGGTGCTTAATACGTAGCTCAAGATCTATTTGTCGAATGTGTGGATGTATGAATGAATGAATGAATGCTCAGGACCTTTCATTGAATTTGTGGCTGACTCAGGCCCAGAGTTCAGGTCTTTCACTGAACGCGGCATTGTATTCCAGGATTTCCCATCTTTCAGATCCCAGAAATGATAGATATATACGTGCTATGCCCACTCAGCCGATGGCTTCCTTTTCCTTTCTTCACAGCTCTCTGGCACCCGTTTTTCCACTTCTCAGAAACACTTTGGCCCACAAATTCCCAAAGCAACCTTGCTCTTCATTCTGGAAAATATGACGCCAACACCGCAGAATAAAGGACAGACAGGAGCTTTTGCTTCAAAGGGAATCACTTCATGCGTGTTAAATGTCCTGAAAGATTCTAAACTTCACAACTTTTGATCATAACTCTACTATATTTGCATACATTAATTGTTATATCTGAAAAGCACGGGATAGCTGTTTTTTAAATTAAATGAAGTAAGTTAATATTTTATTGCTAGGTATAACAACTGCTAATGTGGACAACTGCTGACAAGGACCTCTATAGAAGTAGAAAAGTCTAAGTGTCCTACCATCACCAATAGGAAACTTTAACAGTCCAGAAGATACAATACAATCACGTGGAAAACTGTATACAGTATATTGTATGAGAAGATCCTGCAAAAGCAACAGAGACTGTAAGATACATCATCATCTAAGCTACAGGTGAGAAGAACATCAAGATTCTCAAAAGCAATGGCTCTCAAAGTGTGTTTCCTAGACCAGCAGTGTCAGCACTGCATGGAAACCTAGAAATGCAAACTCTCCAGCCCCGTCTCAGACCTACTGGTTCAGCAACTGTGAGGGAGAAGTCCATATTTTCATCTATGTTATAACAGGTCCTTAGGTGACTCCATGAACACTAAAGCTGGCAAACCATTGCCTTTAAGGGTGCACAAGCTGTTATTTGAGTACAAAATTGCAGTTTTCTGTGTTGTTGTGACTATTTTTGCAGGAGTAGAAAGGTAGCCCATCGCAGTAGAGATAAGTGGATCTGAAACCCTGGCAGCAGCTGAAGACGTTCTTTAAGACAGCTGGAACCTGAACTCCACTTGCCCTCGGAGGCATGCGGTTTAACAGTCCCAGAGACAAATCTGCCACTTCTGGCTTGCATCCAGCAAAAGTGCAGGTCTTCGTCGTTAGGAGATGTCGGCTGATGCATGTAGACATTTAAGAAAGATTCAAAGGGTCATGGACGGATGACCAATAAGACCAATATGCAAGACCAGCGGACAGTGTGTGGTCCAGGTCCTAGGACTGACAAATGGGGCCTCAATCCCCTGCTTGGGATGGTGTTTTATTTTGACTTTTTTCTGAAACAGCGGAGAAACTGCCCAAATGATCAAAATGAGATAAGAAAGTGTTTACGCTTGTTTCACTTGCTCTCCGCTGCCTCCCTGTGACCAACACTCACAGTTCTATGGTCTTAGCAGTTGCACTGAGAGGTCAGAAGAACCTGCTATTTTGCGTTCATAATCTTGTATTACCTCTGAGAAACAATTTATACTACTAAACAAGACATCAGTTATGATGCTCAAGATTTTAAGTGCTTTTTAAACTAAAAACAAAAAAAAATTGTGACCTGAATATAATGTAAATGGTGTATCTTCAAGTCAAAAGCCACAGGTTTACCTCTGCAGCTTTACTCTTTCCTAAAAATTGCTTTTGTGTATTGCTTATGCATGCTTTCTGCATCCCACAAAGTATATAGAAAATAACAGCTTACTCTAAGTCCTCCAGATGAGTTACTACCTCTACTGTATGTTTCATTCTCATTACATGTTTAATGCTTATTAATATCTGTGTTTTGTAGTGGACTTCATGAGGACAGATAATATTACCAACTGAATTGTGTACCCCAAAATTCACATGTTGAAACCCTAATCCCCAAGGTGACTGTATTTGAAGTAGGGCCTACAACAGGTAATTAAGGTTAAATGAGGTCATAAGGGTGGGGCCCTGAATCGATAAGATTAGTGTCCTTTTAAGAAGAAATAGCAGAGATCTTGTTCTCTCCACCGTATGAGGACACAGTGAGAATGCAGCCATCTGTGCACAGGAAGAGAGGCCTCACCAGGAACCAAATGAGCCAGAACCATTTTGGACTTCTCAGCTGGCAGACCTGTAAGAAATAAATAGTCTGTGGTATTTTGTTATGGCGGCCTATGCAGACTAATACAGATACCATGTCTATGTTGTTCATTGTCCTATCTTCTGTGTCTAGCATGTTATAGTCTCTCAAATATATGTGTAGTAAGATGCGTACTAGTTAGAAGGCATTGATTTTGGGCTTAAATAACTGTTGTATTGTGTTATATTTCCAGGATTTTTTCTATTTTTCATAAACTCTGTGAAAAATTTCACTTAGAAAAAACTAATACTGTCATTGGCATTACAAGAGGTGCTCTACAGGACTTGTGTGACCCACAGTAGCCCTGCCAAAAATGCTTGTCCTCCACTTATGGACAGACTTAAGCTTAAAATTCTTCTAGAGCTAGCAATGGGATATCTCCCTTTATCTTCTCTGTGGTACAGAGACAGTTTTCCATTAATTTCCTCATAACGGCTTTCCATGAACACGTTAAACAAAAAAGAGAGAAAGCAACAAGTCATAGCACTCTAAGTAGGTAGCTTGGGAGCAAAGAGGTGAGCAGAAGAGCAGAGATGTGAACAGACCAGATGTCTCGGGGGCTGAGAACAGTAACCATGGTATGGGAACAAATATTAAGACTTTTATTTTTATTTTCCAAATATTTTTTAAAAGGCTTTAAGCCAGGTACAGTGGCTCATGCCTATAATCCCAGCACTTTGGGAGGCTGAGGCGGGTGGATCACTTGAGGTCAGGTGTTTGTGACCAGCCTGGCCAGCGTGGTGAAACCCTGTCACTACTAAAAATACAAAAATTAGCTGGGCATGGTGGTAGGCACCTGTGATCCTAGGCACTCAGGAGGCTGAGGCACAAGAATTACTTGAACCCAGGAGGCAGAGGTTGCAGTGAGTTGAGACTGTGCCGCTGTACTCCAGCTTGGGTGACAGAGTGAGACTCCTTCTCAAAAATAAAAACAAAACCAAACAAACAAAGAGGTGGAGGTGGGAGGATTCCTTGAGCCCAGAAGTTCAAGGCTGCATGAGCTATGATCACACCACTGCACTCCAGCCTGGGCAACAGAGCAAGACCCCATCTCAAAAAAAAGCCTTTAAAATCCCTTTTTAAATGTCTATAAAAAGCATCATTTTCAAATGTTTATTTTGTATGTGATTTATGATGTGCATAAAAATAGTGCAGTAATATGTGTATTTAACCTATAGATAAGTAACACTACATCTACTGGGAATGCAGGATCAATGTTGTTGCTGTTTTCCAACTGGAAATATATAATAAAAAAATATCTAAAGGCTGTTGCTCTTGACTCAGAGATGGCAGGAAAGTGGAAACAAAATGTGGAGGTCCAAACACTAATGGGTTAACTGAAAGTCAACAGAACAGCAGAGGCAAAAACCTTCCCACACTCCTCTGCTGCCTGCCTCTCCCCTTCCTGAGCCAGTCAGGCATTTGTCCAAATCACCCTTAGGCAAAAAAATGATGGATTTGTTCTTCTTAATTGAATTAACCACCCTGGCAATATCATTGCACTCTTCGGTAAGCCAAAGTAAAGATTTCACCATTCTGGCAGTTGCTGTCCATAGTCTTACAATGTCTCACTCCCTACTTACCTACCTACGCTACAGGGATGCTTTCAGACATAAGTTCTGCCTCAAAAACATACGCCTTCATTTTCTTGGTAAAGACTCCGTTAATATTAGCTACCTAAAAAAAAAAAAAAAAAATCAACCTGCTGTCTCCTTTTTTTTTTGAGACAGAGTCTCACTCTGTCACCCAGGCTGGAGTGCAATGGTGCGACCTCGGCTTACTGCAACCTCTGCCTCACAGGTTCAAGCAATTCTCCTGCCTCAGCCTCCCCAGTAGCTGGGACTACAGGTGCCCTCACCACACGCAGCTAATGAGACAGGATTTCACTATATTGGCCAGGTAGTTCTGGAACACCTGATCTTGTGATTCACCCCCCCTCAGCCTCCCAAAGTGCTGGGATTACAGGTGTGAGCCACTGCACCTGGCCATCTCCTTTTAAATATAAAGAAAATACTAAGATTGCCAGACAATAAGAAAAGTAAAAGAAAAAGACGAACAGACAAATTGACTCTTAATGAAATAGAATAGGCCAGGCACAGTGGCTCATGCCTGTAATCCCAGCGCCTTGAGAGGCTGAGGTGGAAGGATCACCTGAGGTCAGGAGTTCAAGACCAGTCTGGCCAATATGGGGAAACGCTGTCTCTACTAAAAATACAAAAATTAGCTTGGCATGGTGGCAGACACCTATAACCCCAGCTACACGGGAGGCTGAGGCAGGAGAATCGCTTAAACCCGGGAGGCAGAGGTTGCAGTTAGCCGAGATCGCACCACTGCACTCCAGCCTGGGGGATAAGAGCGAGACTTCATCCCAAAAAAAAAAAAAAGGCCAGGCACAGTGGCTCATGCCTGTAATCCCAGCACTTTGGGAGGCCGAGGCGGGTGGATCACGAGGTCAAGAGATCGAGACCATCCTGGTCAACGGGGTTTCACCATGTTGACCAGGATGGTCTCGATCTCTTGAC